GGCCCAAAGATTGATTTAAAACAAACAAACAAAAAAAATTACTTGACCCAGTTAGAGTGTGTGTGTGTGTGTGTGTGTGTGTAACACAGATTTGTTTTCTGGGACATCTTTTATGTTTATTCATTTATTCCTACTTTTTCCTAGCCACCACCGTGACTGTCCATTCGTACTTCCCTTCGGTATCCCGCAGACCACTGGCACAAGCGGAGTGGCAGAGCCAGGCAATGCGCGCTGGCTGAGGCCCTCGGAGACCCCAGGGCTGGGGCCTGGCCTGGCCACGCGCCCTACCAGCGCGGGGACCCTGGAGCCGGCTTCTTTGTTAGGGCCGCGTGCACAGGGAGACCAGGAGCGCACGGGCCCCACTGCCGCCTGCTTAGCCCCAGGCCCCGAAGGACTTGTAAGCAGACAGGCTCGAGTCGAGAGGGTAAATTACGCCCCCGGGGACTTTTTAACGAAAATCCTAAATTTCATTTAGGCTGCTGGTAGACCGCGCGGTGGCAGAGCCCAGGCGGTGGCTGCAACAGTCCCCGGGCCCGCGCCTCCGCCCCTCCCCGCGCGCGCCTGGTGCAGCCCGGACCACCGGGAAGCCAATCCCTCTCGGACTGCGCGCCCCCGGGCCCATCGGCGGTCCCCTCCCGCCCCCAGCCTGTCCCCTCTCCCTTCCGTTCCCTTCCACGTCCTCTTCCCGCGCCCTCCCCCGCCTGCAGCCCTCCCCGCGGGCTGGGAGGAAAGTCGGTAATAAGAAACCAGTTCGGTGTCACTCGGAGAGGGGGGAGATAACCCCAGAGATACACGGCAAGGGAGAGAGAACTCATTTTGTGTAAAGAGGGCCTCGAGTCACCAGGGAATTCCTGGATTGTCTCAGGCTGTCGTGTGTGATGTCCATCACGCCGTGCGAACACCATCTGCTCGGTATTATGCTCTCAGTTGCCAGGCTACCTGCTGTACGCAGTAACACTTGACTGCCTGGCTCCACGTCCGCAGCGGCGGCCCAGACGCGCGGGGCGGGGGAGAGCCGAGTCCTGATTAAGCCATCTGCAAGGGGAGGGGACGCGGGCGGAGCGGGCGGCCGCGTGCGGAGCGCCGGGCTGACACCACCATCTGCTGGGGCGCGCGGAGAACAGCAGCTGCTCCCAGGGCCCCGACGAGGAACGCCTGAAAAAGGCCCGATTCAGCTCTGGGCATTTTCAGGCCCGTTATTCACGACGTCGTCGTCACCCCGGCCTCATCCCTGCCGGCAGCCTTTTGTGACAGTCCCTCCCAGGAGCCCGCAGTCTTTGGTTCGCTGCCAGTAACCCCGGCCCCTCTCACCCAAACACCGTGCATGTTCTTGAAAACACTTCAGAGAAAATCAAGCTTCCCTGCGCGCAGATTTATAAATAAACAGCTGGCTGTTCTTGGGAGATATTTTTACCACAGCTGTTTTTTTTTTTTTAAGTCGAAAACTGACTGGGGGAGGTAAGGGTGTTTTTTACACCTCCCACCTCACTGGAGCCTTTAGAAGATGGCTAAGTTCTTGTCCCTGGAGGGGGGAAGATGTGTAAAACAGGTTCATTGGGTTTGATTTCTTGTTCCTTCCTTTATTTTACTGGAGAGTGAGAAGGTTTGGAGAGTAATGAAGATCTATGTAGCCAATTGGATTTGAGGGGAAGAGAATGTATTAAGATTCTGTGGAGAAAGCAAGGGAGGTCGTTGGGCAGGGAGTGGAGAACAAGCCAGTAATTAAAACTAAAAATACTGCATCATTTGGCTTCCAGGCATTACATGTCGCATGACGAAAGCTCAGCCTGGTTTCCTCTAATTGCACCACACAGTGTGTGTCCTCCTTAGAAACAAGAGCAGAGACTTGAAATCATGAAATTTGACGGACTATTTCTCATTAAGCCTTCTTAGACTGGAGGTTAAAAGAAGTCTGTAATGTGAAGGAGCTCCGCCAGCTTAATTTGTAATGCAAGTCACTTGATGCGCCTTCACACTTTGCCATACACACCTGAGGCTGGGGCGGTAGGTGACTCTCACCTGCTGTTGAATGTAGCAGAGCTTGCTGGGAAGGTACTGAGATGTTTCATTGGTGATCCTTCACCAGTGCACACAGCCCTCCTGCCTGTGTTCTTCAGTGAGGAACCCCAAGGCATAACTTTGGGGAGAGGATCCTTTGGGGAAATAATGGAATCCCTGGAAGTAATCACTATTCTATCCGTTTGGGAGTATTTTTCCCCCACAGGGGGAAAAAAAAGTGGCTCAATAGATGAACATCATCACCCCATTTGCCTCTCCCTTTCTTTCCCCTTTGGAGAGAAATCTGGGAAAGCGAAGGTTCCCGCTCCTCCCCTGGGGCATACTCTCCAGCTGTGTGGAGCTGGTCACACAGGACAAGAATACCTCAAAGTGCACAAAGAAAACAGGGCCAGTCAGGGCAACCCTCTCAAAAACTCAAGGTACAAAAACCTGTTATCTTTCCTTGGGTCTCATTTCTCTTCAACTTCCTTCTCCTTTTCAAAACTGGAAAACATGAAATATACTGAAACATGCAGAAAAAATACTTTATATCAATATTCTTGCTGATGGACTATGCATCAGTGTAAACCGGCTTGTAAACGTGTTAAGTCAGCCATGTGGATGGGTGGCAAGAAACAGCTCTATCCTGTCAGAAGGAAGGGCTTGGAAAGCAGGTAGCAAGTGTTAGGGAGAAAGAAGACCCTGAAATATCTAGACCTCTGCAAGGGTCAGGCATAAAATAAACTTTTTGGAGACATCATGATTTGGGGCTTTTTTTTTTTTTTTTTGGCATTAGACTTTTTTTTAGCAACATTAAAAATATTGCATGGCTCTCTACCTAATTACAGAAAAAAATGCACACCCTAAAAAAGTTTTATGAACTTCAGGGCCAGCATTTATGTGTGACACTGCACATTCTTGAGAGACACGCTAGATATTTGGTCTACAGGCCACTCTTAAGTGTGCATCTGACCCCGTGCATAGCCTAGACAGGGCCAGGGCAAGTGGAAAGAATCTTGCATTTAGAACCAAGCTCAGCATTCTAGGTCTGCTAGTTAGGGGTCATTCACTTACTAGTTGTTTTGCCCTGATTGCTACACTAACTAGCAGAATTTCTTGAGCCACTGTTGCTGGGGTAAGAGGAGGAGTGTGTTGTGTTGTGGTCTTTGTTTTTGTTTAATCTGTTGGTTTGGGTGGATGGAAAGAGGGAAGAAGTGCAACCAAAGGTGTGGTGTAGATGGAAATCCGCGGGTGGAAGGAAAAGTCTGTGAGGCTCCTTAGCTCAGCTGGTTAGAGCTTGGTGCTGATAACCCCAAGGTCGGGAGTTCGTTCCCCGTACAGGCCACCAAATGCCGCGGTCTGGCTGGGCACAAATCACGAGCCACTCAAGCAGGTACAAACTTTATTTCCAAAACTCCCACGAATATATCACGAATGCGGCCTTCTCCCGGGACACACTACTCCAACAGGAACTCCCTCCTCCGGATTCCCTCCTACCGCACTTCCCCAACCAATGGGAACTTTCCAGGAGTCCCTGAGAGCTCTAAAGTAGCAGGCCAAGGCAGACAGCAGGGGTCTAATCTCCAATTGAATGCACATCTTAACATAATCATTATCATCTCAATGGCTTGCTGGCATCACCTTTCAACCAAAAATGCCATGGTCATTCCTACTTGGCTGTGGCTCTCAGCATCAACCTATACAGTGGGAGGAAACTGGAGTACAGCAAGCTGGGGTCGTGGGGAATTAAATCCAGGACTCTCCGTCTAGGACGTTCATCTAGACATCTAGGACAGAGATGAACTCTGTGTTTTGAGAGGAAACTGCCAGCACGATCAACAATATCTACCTTAAAAGATAGCAACACGAAAGAGGAAAATGCTAAAATCAATTCACATTATAATAATTTTTAAAACAACCACAGAGTTGTTCACATTCCTTTAGGTCTCATGATAGTCACTCAGGGTATGGCCATTTTTGTCCTTATAGCTGTACCCACTTAATTTGTATATACCTCAGAAATCAGCTCCTCTAGGTTCAGGTTAGTTGATTAAAACTTTAATGATCTAGAAGTATTTCTGCAGAACAATACTTGCTATTACCAGATGTGCTTGGTAGAAGTGTCTAGAATCCAAATCTCATCCCACACCTGATGTCCCATCAACTATTTTTCCTACATAGTGCCCTCTCTGCCAGCTGTTTAGACCTCTCTGAGCACATCCTCCAGTCCTTGGGCTGCAGGGGATTAGCTCTCTATCACTTTCTATCCCCTCAGGACCCCAGTCCTTAAAAATTGCCATTATTTGACTCCCTGACATACAATTATAGAATCAAGAGTTCCAATCCAGCCCCCCACATTCAAATCATCCTAGACACATGAGACACGATTCCATTTTTAAAGATGTTCAGCGATTACACAGCTTTGGTCAAAATAAAACATTGCCAATTCTCACCATCCACAACTCTGACCAGCAAGATTTTTAAATCCCTTCAATGTTGTAATCAATTAGAATAACATCAAATATCAGATCTGTTGATTTTTTTTAAAAATCCAGCATTTTTCTGGGTTTGTCCCTCCTACTTGCTAAGATGTCCATTTTGGCCAAATGGATGGTAAGGAGGAAGAATCATGGGCGAGGTCAGGATGCCACCTCCATGATGATGGTGAGCCCAGCCTGAGGGCTTATTCCTTTTCCTAGGAGCGCACGGAAATGAGTTGAAAATCCAGTTCATATCCTTTAGTTTCACCTGAAACACACTGGACTTGGCTCAGACTTCCCAAATTGTGACAAAGCCACGCTCTGTCACAATCCCCTGTAGCCTCTGTTTCTACTGAGGGAAGGCCGGGTTTGAGGACTGCTGGATTGTTTTTATAGAAATATAATGGGTGCCCCTGAGAACCCCTAGGGCCTGCTCCCTTCCCCCTCCCAGGGCTTTCCCCTGAGAGGGCAGCGAGTGTCCAAGAGGAATCACTGCATCCATCTCTCTTCTTGTCCCCCCAGGAGCCGCACCCAGTTGGGCTTCCCCGGACCACAGGCCCTTTGCAGTCCTCTGTGCCCCCAGGCTCGAGCAGCATGGTCTCTGGGGCCAGTCCTGCTGGTCCCGGCTTCCTGGGCAGCCAGCCTCAGGCAGCCATCATGAAGCAGATGCTGATTGATCAGCGGGCTCAGCTGATGGAGCAGCAGAAGCAACAGTTCCTGCGGGAGCAGAGGCAGCAGCAGCAGCAGCAGCAGCAGATTCTGGCTGAGCAGGTACTGTGCCTCCGTGGTGTGGTCCATCCATTCAGCAAGCACTTATGTGGCACCTGCTGTCTGTGAGGGACTCACCACAATCCCTGTCCCCGGCACACAGACCAGCAATTCCCAGGACCATGGAAGAACCTACAGAATTTAGAGCTTTTCAATTAGTTAGGCTTTTTCCTCTAATGAATTAGTTTGTTCTTAAAAGGCAAGCTTCAGCCATCAATTTGAAGGCCCATTTGTCAGAGACAGTTCTTCAATCCGAGGCTGGCTCCTTGTCTTCTGGATCCTGGTACAGGGATCTGCGTCATCAGCCTGCAGTGGGGGCTGGCTCTCATTCTTCTGAGGCCCTCATATTTCTAGCATGATGCAAAAAAATAATAATTCCAGGAACTTTGTTTCTTGGGAGGAAAGTGGCAGGAGGAGGGACTGCGGAGAATTCTGCAGAATTGGTCACAAACAATGGACCGGGAACAATAGCAGAACAATAGGGCCTGCAGAACCACCTGGAAACCTGAACTGGGGGTCACAGAGAGGGTGAAAACTTAAGAAAGTTCCTGACAGCTTTTAAAACAGCTCGGGAAATCTGTGAGTTAAAGAAAGGCCTGACACAAATACACCACTACCTTAGGCATCTTTGTCCACCCGTGCCATATAATTCCTCCAGCTTTGAAAGAAAGCCTTCCCTGCAGACCGCTCCTGTAGGTTTTGATTTGTTTTGTTTTTACAGATGCCTGAGCCTGATTTAGTATTATCCCAGGGAGGGCCTGAGGCCGCCTGCAAGAGATCCCCAGATGGCCCCTGTGGGGGCCTGCCCAGGGGATCTCACACAGCAGCTTCTTTATTGTGAGAGGTGGGAGGTTGTCATATAAGGCTCAAGGCCCAACATGGCTCTGACGCATAGTAATCCTTCTAGAATGTTCCTAATGAGATCAGAATTCTAGAAATTTACAAAGCATCCACCACCGCCTGTTTACAAGATACCAGGTAGGACACAGGTATCTCGTATGCTGTTCCCTACTAACCAAGAACAGCAGTTCGAAGTAACACCAGTTATCCCCCAAAGAGAAAAATTGTCCTGTTGGGCACAGTTCACTCATGTTCCCTGCTTTTGCTTTGCTTCCTGAACAGCTGTGTAATTATCTCCCTTTTTACCAAGGTCAGTCAGCCGCCTGGCAGCTATTGTACAAACAAACCTCTATCCCTCTCACCCTGCATAAGGTGTGTGACAAGCAGCCATGCTAATATCTCTCAGGCAGTGATAAATGGAACTGCAGAGGGAAGCCGGGTTTTATAAATCCTCTCCTCGGCCAATCCCAGGAAATTTCAGGTGTGCCTGAGATGTTGAGTGATGGCTTTTGATACGTGTGCTGCCACCAAAGCACAGGGAGAAATCAGGGTGACCAGGCTGAAATCGCAGTGCCAGTCCCAGGATATTCCTGCTCAGGAGCCAGATCAGCCAAGCCCTGGGGGAATAAAGAAGGAGGTGGGAGCGTGTAGAAGGAGATGTATCAAATGATGCCCAGAGATCAAGAGGTGAGAAAATGAGCGAGACCCCTCGGAATCCAGGACATGGAGAGAGAGAGGACTCCTTGGAAAAGATGGCAGGGGGACTGTGACCTGAATGCAATTCTTTAGCAACCATGTGTATTTATAATAGAGGTCCAAGTCGAGATTATTTTACTCAGGGTGAGAACCTGCCCATCCTCTTGCTTGCAGTGGTGATTTTGAAACAAACCACTTGGCCTCTGACTTCGTCTACCAGATTAAGTTTGAATAATTACCTTCATATAGCTGGTTTCACAATCGCATGAGATAATGTGTACAAATGCCTTTGGAGGCTGTATGCTCTGTACTAACTTATATGGGGACCCAACGTGAAGAGCTGCAACCCATGTGCCAGCCACATCAGAATGGCATCTTGGCCTGAGCCTGCAGATAGCACTTATTAGTGCAGGCTCTACTGGGGGGTCTCCAAGTGGTGAGCTGTCAACTTTTTGCTAGAGAATGAATACTGCCTATCACATCAACACCTTGCTGATTTTCTGTCTCTGCAGCATTGAAAGTGTCCTGGCAATTTTTAATTTTGGAAACAGTGTATTGGAAACACTTGGGTTTCCTGAAAAGCCATATGAGGGAAAACAGAAGGATTTGGGATCACAGATCTGTGGGAACTTTAAACTGATTCTCGTTGAAAGCAGGCATGGGTTAACATTAAATGCCTCACTCTCCAGGAGCAAGGCCCTGTCACTTCTCATCTGTTCACAAAGGGTCAACAGAACTGGGAATTTTAGATATGAAAGAAATTGAGATAGTGAAGCCCAATCATTTTACAAATGAGGAAATTAAGGTGTCATGGTTTGGATATGAAATATACCCCAAAAACTCCAGTTAGTAAAGGAATATGTAGGTGAGGAGACTGGATTATGAGAGCTGTAACATAATCAGTTTATCCTAGTTTGATTGACTCACTGATTGGTAACTGCAAGCAGGAGGTGGGTCACTGGGGAATGCCCCGGAAGGGTCCTTCTTCCTTATGGCGCCTTCCTCTCCCTTCCTCTCTCTACTTCCTGGGAACCATGAGTAGAGCCGGGGTCCTCTACCATACCCTTCTGCCATGATGGCCTGCCTTACTTGGGTCCAGAGCAATGGAGTCCGTCAACCGTGCACTGAACCTCTAAAACCATGAGCCAAAAATAAACTTTTCTTCCCTAAGTTGTTCTTGTCAGGTATGTCAGTCACAGTGACGAAAGCTCACACTTAAGGCCAGGGAGCTTACGTGATTTATTTGAGATCACAGAACTAGGGAGAGGCAGAGCCAAGAGGGAAATGGGACTCCTGACCCCTGACTCCAGGCCATAGCCCAGGTTTGTTGCTCTCTGTGAGTGGCACAGTTTAATCCTTTTTTTTTTAAATGCTGGGAATCAAACCCCAGGCCTTGAGCATGCTAGGCAAGTGCTCTGCCACTGAACTATACCCCAGACCTAAATTCCTGCATATTAGGGGAAGTTCAGCTGAGGAGAAACTTTTAAATGCTCAGCTAACTCTCAGTAATGCCTCTATATTGCTGCCTGAAAGATTAGCATGGTTTCTGGTCTATTCTTTAATGGTCTGCACGTCGATAAATGTCAAGAGTTTTCTGCAGAGTCCTATGGTAGGCACTCAGCTGGGGTCAACAGGGTAGAGGCTGTATGTTTTTCTTCTGGATGCCAGAAATGCTGGCTGGCCTTGTAGAGAAAAAGAAAATTATAGAGTTGCTCAGGAACAAACACGAGAGAAAAAATAGAAGCCAACACATGTGGTAAGAAGTGGTCTATGTGTGTTATTTTTATAATGAATACTCTAAAGAGCAGGGCCTTGTTGTAGGTTCTTTAGAGCCCTTGCAGATGAAGGTGCTTCATGCATATTCAGCAGATGCAAGAAGGAGGTCAACCAGCCTCGGAAGGTCACGCAGCTACTCAGGGGCAGCCCTAGAACTAATACCTCTTTCTGTTCTCTTTCCACCTCACTCTGGGTCCTCTTGCTTCGCACATACAGCATGATAATGATTGTAATAGCCTGCCCGGTGTACTGGTAACAGTACTAGTAGTGCAAATTCCCAGGAGTGGCAGAAGAAAGACGAAAATGCTGGCCTCCTGGATCTTGGTACATGTGGAATCCCATGTGGTTTCCTCAAAGCAGTAAATGCTGAATATTTTACTTGTAGAGATGTATGTTACAGGCAGTGTGGCTTCATGGGAATAAGATTAGCTCTTTTATATAGCCCCTGAGGATCGCATCCTCCTATGCCCAAACCATCTATTCAGGTCATTGAAAAGTAGTTGTTTGTCCCTTTGAGCTGGGTCCCCTTGGTGCTAAGGAAAGGCATGCAGACCAAGGTTGGAAAATTCAAGTCCAAACCACCTCCCTCGACACGCATTCCTCATGAGCAGCAAGTCACATATCAGAAATGCAGGAAGATGTTCACCAAAAGCATACACAGAAATGTTCATAGCAAAGATATCATGTCAGCCCCACACTAGAAACACCCAAAATGACCACCAGCGGTAGGATGGGTGAATTGTGGTATATTCATAGGATCAATGCTATTCAATAGTAAGAATAAGAAAACAATCAGTGTACATCCCAGCACAGGTGAAACTCACAAATACAGCAGTGAGTATAAGAAGAAGACAGACACGAAAGCAGCATTATATTAGTCCATTTTTACAATAAATTTATTTTTTATTTTTTATTCCTTGGTACTGGGGATTGAACCCAGGGGGACTTTAACCACTGAGCCATATCCCCAACCCTTTTTTATCTTGAGAGAGCATCCAGCTAAGTGCTAAAGGTCTTGCTAAGTCATTGAGGCTGGCCTCGAACTTACGATCCTCCTGCCTCAGCCTCTAGAGTTGCTGGGATTGCAGGCATGTGCCACCGTGCCAGGTTGAAGCCCTTTCTATGAAGTACAAAAGCAGACTTAACCAGTATACATTGTTAAAAGTTAGGCTAATCATACCCCTGGTCAAGGGAGGGTGATGACCAGAGGGGCACCAGGAGCTGTTATAGACCTATGGAAGCTGTTACATGGATTGTGTTCACTTTGTACAAATCCACCCACCTGTGTACTTGAACTTTGCACACTTTCCTGTTTGCACGTTGTTTTTCAACACAAAGTTGAGTTTTGGGAAACAACCCTGCCTTCCCCAACTCCCAGGATATATAATCAAGTGTCCTTCCCCCATCTCACGTCCCCATCTCTTTTGTCCTCTCTCGTTCTAGCAGTTGCAGCAGTCTCATCTCCCCCGGCAACACCTCCAGCAACAGCGGAACCCATACCCTGTGCAGCAAGTCAATCAGTTTCAAGGTGAGGCCGTTCTGCACCTCTTCTGCCTTATCCTTCTCAGTGGCAAAGTGTAGGGAATGAGTGGCCAGTGGCGTTGCCTTACAGTCTGTATTTGTGTCTAGAGAGTCTCCCAAATATTTAGCAGCTGGCAGGAGAAGAGTACCACGCATTCAGAATGGATTCCTGGAGGCCCCTATTGTGCTAGGAATGATCACTTTAGTCACTGGGTCACAGAGAGCCCAGGGGGAATGGGGTGGTGGTGGAAGGGAAGACTCAGGCAGCTGTCTTTTGGCAAAGGAACAGCGTCTCTCACTAGTTTAGCAACCAGTAAGGACATACCAGTGCCTACTGGCCCAGTATCAGCATTTTTTATGTCTAGATGGTCATGTTAGTGACCACAGGGCCCAAAATCCTGGGCTGTATCTTTCTTGCTAATCCCAACAGGTGAGGTGACCAAAGCCCTCACTTCCAACAACCCAGTGGAAGAATCTGGCTTGAAACAAACACTAGTCTATGCCGAACGTAGAAGAAAGGTAGAGCCTTGAGGCCAAGTGAATTGTGCCAAACCTGCTGCCAGTTGCAAAAATCCTGAATTGTGGGCACACTGTATGCCAGCGTAGCCACCTCATGTAAATGCAGAAGGCCCACTCGAATATCAAGCCCTCCCAGTCTCCAAGAGAGAGCCCCGGAGAGTCTCGTATGGCTGGAGGAAGAGCCTAGGACCCTTCCCAATCTTACCCACAAGAGTTTTCAGGGGGCCACAGAAACCTTAATTCTCACCCTCTGCCTGTTTAGTGGGATCCAGATCAGTGTTCTAAACCCCTCGATGTTACCGACCCTTTAAGAATCTGCTGGAAGCATGTTATTTATAGGAAAATGGATGGAAGAGTCCCTTCATTTGTCTCATTGTGACAAGTGAAATAAACCAAACTCAGAAAGTCAAGGGTCATATGAATTTGTATTTCTATAGGGTGTGCATGTACAAATATGTAACAACAGATCTCAACATTATATACAACTGTAACACACCAGTTTTTAAAAAAATAGGGGGGGGGGGGAAGAATCTGTTGGAAGCTACAGAGCCTCTGCACAGAAGTATGCATATATGTAAATATATGCAAACTCTGACATCATTGCACATGTGTGACACTCGGGAATTTGATCAATAGACTAGGTGAACAATTTATGACCTAGGGTAGCACTTCTCAGTCTTTGGGTTATAACAGATGATTAAAATGATTTAGTGAGTCATAACTCACATGTTTTAAATGAAATACAATAGAAATTATCAGGGAATATCAGAAATGTTAGTTTCTTTTATAAAACCCATGTATATATATACTGGATCACCCACTATGACTTGTGGCTTAATGAATGTGAAAACCAGTAGCAGTTACTGATAGATCTTGTTGAAGAGTGCTTGTAAAAACACTAGGCCTTGAATAACTCCTACTCCTTTGCACCCCTGGACCATTTATATGACCCTAGACCCCTTTGGACTTGACCCAGGGAAAGACAAAAGGAATTGACCTGTGCACAGGTGGACTGATCAGTGCCAGTATTCTTTGAAGAGGTACTGTTTCAAGTTTCACCACTGGAGAAGACTGGGGGAGAGTCACTGTGACATAAAGTCTTTGTCACAGATACAGAGCCCTCCTTTTCACCTGAGTTCTCAAACTTGAGCCTGCAACAGAGTCACCGGCAGAGCTTATTAAAGCACAGACAGCTGGACCCCATTAACAGGGTTTCTGACTCAGTAGGTCCAGCCTGGGGCCTGAGAGTTTGCATTTCTAACAGGTTCTCAGGAGTTGCCAATCCAGCTGGCTAGGGGAGCGCACTTTGAGAATTTCTGCTTTAAAAACATAAATGCTGATATACCAACCACAGAGTCCCTTGAATTTTCTAGGTTCATAACTCACTTTTTGAAATAAAGGATCCACCAGAGTTGAATAATTCCTCTGTGTTATAGGACGTAGATATGTATTTATATGACTCTTCTGAATGCTTTGAGTCTAGGTTAAAAGTTAGTAGGGCCCCTGAGCTGATTGGTCTGAGATATAATAATTTTTTTGCTATGTTCAGTATTTTCCAGGATCCCTAAATAGTGTGATGTTATGCTCCTGGGAAGATGGTAAATTGATAGATAATAAATACAGTCCTCAAAGAGAAGCTCTATTAGGAATTACTTGCATGGTTATTACACCATGCTCGTAACCACCACGCAGTGTAAAGGTCTTAATGACCATCCTTTTTCCTGTTGAGTTCCTTGCCTCTGAGTGATAATCCATACCAAATGCTTCTTTTTCACAAATATAGAATTGTGAATGAAAATAAAACATAGAACCTTTTAGGGAAAAAACTTCATATTGCCATCTCTGTTTGAATATGGAAGATTTTCGCTGACATTGTGATGTTAACCAACAGACAAGAAAATTAATGTGACTACAGTGTCTCACAATAATATCTGTTTTATACAAAAAAGAAAAAGAAAAAGTAGTCTGTTTAACGCACTTAGTAATCGGGTAAAGACAATTAATTCTTTGGATGCATTTGAATTTTTTTCCTTTGTATGTTTAAAATAACGGAAGGCATAAAACTGGGCTAATAGAAAGCTTTATATTTCGTTTAAGTTGAAAATATTGTGCTGATTGCTGATATTTAAATGCTTTTCTAAAAAATAAGAATTGCATCTAGATGGTGCTGTCATTTATGCTAAGTAAAAGTAATAGTTGGCTTTGAATAATGTTTCACTACCTGTTAAAGGGCATTTCAACATTTCTGCCTTCTAAAGAAAGGAACCTATTTCCCATTCACAAAATTAGTCCAGAGTATACTCGGTCCTTCAACATCCATTATAAATATAAAACTAAAATGTCCAAATTATGAAAGTCCTTTAATCTGTTTCCAGCCATCATCTCCATCAGTCTGTTTATATAATCTGAGTCTATCCAATCAGCAATATTTTTCCCTTAAATTTTTTGTAAACAACTCAATAACTCATTTCACGATCTGATTGGCCATGCAGTCGATACAAATTCAGTGGTGAAGGTCACAAAACTTTATAACAAGATTACAAGTTGAAGGAGATACTACCATCCAGTGTTTGACCAAGAGGGTTTGATTTTTTTCCAAAAATCACTTGGATATAATTAATCTTAAAAAAAAAATTGAAATACTTCTAGGGATTTAAGTTTCTAGATCTTTCAGTTTCCCCTCAGTACTGTTTCATTTTTCAATGTAGCCTCATATTGATCAGAAGCCACAAAAACTTAAGTCATAATCAAAATTCCCATAATTTTATTTCTTAAAGAAAGGAAGAAAATATGGAGACGTATTTGCTGCCCAGAAATCAATAACCCCCATCAGGAAGACAAAAACATGCTTCAGTTATCTGCCAAGGTGCCAGGCTTAACAAGGTTAGACTGTTCTCAGCTGGTTTCTCATCACAGTTCCAGATGGGATCAAATTTGCTTATAATATCGATCAGCTCCTGTGCTGCATCTTCTTTAAATGTCCAGGAAAAAGAACTATTTTTCTTTTTCCCATAGACTTAATCATTAGCAGAGCCATAGAAAAAATCTATTTTTGTGCTCCTCCCAGCCCTTTACAACATTGACTGGTGTTCCACAGGTGACATTTCCATTCACTTGGCTGGTCTGGAAATGTTATGGGAATCAGAAAGAAGGGCTTCATTCAAATGCCTAATTGAAGTTGAATGACTTGGTGCTGATAGATATTCTGGCCAACATTTAAACAGCGTCATTAGAACTGTTGGTTGGTGATCTGCAGAGAGAAGTTCACAGTCACTGCAGATTGGAAAGGGTAGACTTTGCTACAAAGTTCATTGCCAAGTGGCAAGTAACAAGATGATTTCTTTTTCTAGCTCTAGAAGATGATCAGTTTGAACTGACATGTATGAGTCAGAGAATCCAGAGCATGTGGAAATCTACAGGATGGATCTAAAAAATGTCCCATTTGTCAAAATAGCTACTGGGCAGAAGCGATGACATCCGACCTCTCAAATCCTACTCCAGTCTCCAGGGAAATCAACCTAATGGTTTCCATTGATAGCATTCCCTACTGAGCCACATTCCACTTCACAAATAGAATGTGCAGCGTGATCAGACATTTCCTCTTAATTTAGCTGGAGAGATGAATTCCCCCCTCACCTTCAAAGAAAATGGTATCCTGTTGGGTTGATGGCATCATATCCAGAAGAGTGAGAGAGAGTTTGCTTCTGAAATGCACACCTGTAATCCCACTGACTCAGGAGGCTGAGACAGGAGGAGTGCAAGTTTAAGGCCAGCTTCAGCAACTTAGAGAGGCCCTAAGCAACTTAGTGAGACCCTATTTCAAATTTTAAAAAAAGGCTGGGGATGTGACTCAGTGGTTAAGTACCCCTGGGTTCAATTCCCAGTACAAAAAGTAGCGGAAATTTGGGTGACTTTAATTTTTGTCTTTGTGCTCTTCAATAATTTCCAAATTTTGCATAATCAGCATATGTTATAATTAGAAAAAATAATAATCATTTTTATTAAAGATATATTATCAGAGTAAATCCTTTCATATTAAGGATTTTGTCATTTCCAAAGGAAATTCCAGCGACTTGTCACAGTATAATGTTTATGGAGGAGAGTGAGTGATGAGTGTCCTGTGTTTTCCTGCAGGCTCACCCCAGGATATAGCAGCCGTGAGAAGCCAGGCAGCCCTCCAGAGCATGCGAACGTCACGGTTGATGGCACAGAACGCAGGCATGATGGGAATGGGGCCCTCCCAGAACCCAGGGACGATGGCCACAGCTGTGGCCCAGTCAGAGATGGGACTGGCCCCTTACAGCACCACACCTACCAGCCAGCCAGGAATGTACAGTATGAGCACAGGAATGACCCAAATGTTGCAGCACCCAAACCAAAGTGGCATGAGCATCACACACAACCAAGCCCAGGGGCCGAGGCAGCCTGCCTCTGGCCAAGGGGTCGGCATGGTGAGTGGCTTTGGTCAGAGCATGCTGGTGAACTCAGCCCTGACCCAGCAGCACCAGCAGATGAAAGGCCCAGTGGGCCAGGCCTTACCAAGGCCCCAAGCCCCTCCAAGACTTCAGAGCATCATGGGAACTGTCCAGCAAGGAGCACAAAGCTGGCAACAGAGGAGCTTGCAGGGAATGCCCGGAAGGACTAGTGGAGAACTGGGCCCATTCAACAATGGCACCAGCTACCCGCTTCAAGCCGGCCAACCCAGACTGACCAAGCAGCACTTCCCCCAGGGACTGAGCCAGTCGGTTATGGACGCTAACACTGGCACAGTGAGAACCCTCAACCCGGCTGCCATGGGTCGGCAGATGATGCCGCCACTCCCGGGGCAGCAGGGCACCAGCCAGGCGAGGCCTATGGTCATGTCTGGGCTGAACCAGGGCGTCCCTGGCATGCCAGCCTTCAGCCAGCCCCCAGCGCAGCAGCAGATGCCCAGTGGCAGCTTTGCCCCCAGCAGCCAGAGTCAAGCCTATGAGCGGAACCCTCCTCAGGACATGCCATACAATTACAGCGAAGGCGCTGGGGCTTCCTTCCCTGGACTCCCGGACAGTGCAGACCTAGTGGACTCCATCATCAAAAGCGGGCCAGGGGATGAGTGGATGCAAGAGCTTGATGAATTATTTGGTAACCCCTAGTCAAGAGGGGTCCCGGGAGCCACAGCTACAGTGGTACAAGCTTTTACCACGTGGAAAAGAAACAGGATGTTGACCCGTCCTTGTTTTTTTTGTTTTTTTGACCCACGTAAACTGAGCAAAACTACAGCTGGCTGATGGTGGAAGATCCAGGTGTCCACCATGGCCCAGTGGGGCCTCGTTCAGCTGGTTTTCACACAGCAATCGAGCTGAGACGCCATGCCGACCCCTGCTGTAAAAGAGGAGATGGGGAGGGCAGGCGGGGAAGACGAAGGAAGTGAAGCCCCTCTGCTCAGCGCCCCCTGTGATCGCCCGACCCAGCAAGAGCTGCTCCAGCCCAGAGGGACTGGACTGTGGCCAGAGGTGAGGTACCGCCAGCCCTCCTGCTCCAGGTCCAGGGACTACAGCTTAGGAGACACACGAGACAGAGCCTCAGCCAGGGAGAGTCCCACAGAGGCTGCTAGCCACCGCACAGGCAGGTGCAGGTCAGAAACGCTCCAGTCTCTGAGTGGGAAGAGACGCGCCTTCCAGACACGCTCCTGTATTTGCAGAACAGGCAGGAAGAACAGGGACTGATCCCAAAGGATCGTGCAGGCCTGTCTTCTGTCCCTGCCCACAAACCTCAGGCCAGCTGAGATTGAAAAGGGCCTTCCGGCAGTCCTAAGGAGCTGCCCCATGCCAATCACCACTCCAGATTGAGCGGAGTCTTTGGGGGGGGTCAATACAATAATAGACATGCAGGTGGCTCTCATCTGCTCCTGGTGACCACAGGGTGGAGGGACCCCTGCTGGACTGTGTGGGTCAGCCAGCCCTCCTCCTTCACCCCTGACTCTGGACCCTCTCACTGCACCCCAGCCTGCCTTTGCTTCTCCTTAAAGACCATCCAAGAAGAGGTGAAGCTTTGGAGCAAAGTCAGAATAAATGCAAAACTGAGACAATGCCTGGGAGGCCAAGGGGACACTGGAGACTCTTTCTCCCACTTGCATAGAGTGGAACGAATGTCTGCTTGGAACGGAGTGCGCTGCGCTGATATTTGGGTGTGGGTTTACATGAGCTACACATCTGATACTTCTGATACCCCCAGAGAGGAGTGGCCTGGAGAGCACCAGTTCTGACTCTCTTGGTGAGAATCCCAGGGTTGTCATTCTAAAATTGGCCTTGCACAACATCTTTCTCATCATCAAACACCAATATAAAACCCCAGAGATGGAGGAACAGAAAAATCAATAGCTCCACCTTCCAGATTTGGATAGTGAACTGGGGGAGGTTCCTTCCTAAGGGCAAGGTGATCCACTTCAGGAATTCTGTGCAGGTGTCCTCTGATGTTCTCAGCTCCACCCTAAGTGACACCTCCATGTCTGTTGGTCTGCCTCCCCTCCCATGGAGGCAAAGTGGCACAAGTTGAATGGACTTTCCTCCTGTCCCTGGTCCCCTCGTGTCCTACTTGCTGGCTCCCTTCTGTGCACCAACACACAACTCAGCACAGGAGGACAGAACCCATGGAGGCCGCACTGGCCGAAGGCGAGTTCCAGGGGAAAGCTGGGCAGAGGACTGTGTGGAGGAGGCAGGCAGGCATCGCCCTTGACTTGCTCTGCATCTGCCAGGAGTCTAGACCTGCTCAGCCAAGGGCAGGAGGGGAGGCCAGAGGCACCTGGCTGCTGGAAGGTGGTGGCAGGGTGACGTGAACTTCCTGAATGGGGAGGGAAGCTGAGAGGAAACAGATGAAAACCAAAAAGTAGAAAACAAATGCGAAGACACAGATTCATAATTATTACCCTTTCCTACAAGGTTCAGGAAATGAATATATAAGCAATGAGGAGGAGCTGGAGGAGGCTGATGGAGAGGGGGAGGCTCCATCATCTCCTCAAAGCTTCCTCCAGCCGCTCAGTCCTGGGACCAACAAATAGAGAGGTAGATTTTAATAAGGTTGTTTTGTTTTGTTTTTACTACGGTGCTGATGTATATGTAATGTCTAAAAAAAAAGTTATTTGTACATAAGTTTTTACAATACTGCAGATATCACTGGGTCTACTATCTGTAAAAAAAATATATACATATAAATATATATATACTGTTTGTTTAAAATAGAGTATTTTTATTTCATTCCTTCACTCATCATCACAACAGTGGTATTGCACTTCAGATTACATCTAATGACTAATTTGTACTGTATGACCTATGGCAACTGGCTCCATTTGATTCAGATTTTTCTAGTTTTCTGTTTTTACTTTGTACATTGAGCATTGCTTATTTCCTTTTAAGAGATGTACAGGACTCTGAAATGTAGAAATGAGGTGATGTTGACATACCACTTTTAAAGAAAAAAAAAAAAAAACAAAAATAAATGATCATTATCTGAATCAATCCCAAGTAGAGTTCATTTTGGGATTCTCCCTGGATCTCCAGCATTAAAATAAGTGGACGAATTATGCCTGGGTTTTAATTGATTAACTGCCGTTCTTTTCTCAAAATTTGGATGTCACGATTTAGAGATTTGTTTAACAATAGACATCAATCATTCCTGCCCTTTTTAATCCAACCTCACAACTGAAACTTTCTAAATTTTCTGGTGTACTCTGGAGGGTATGACCAAGGGAAGGGAGAAGTCTCCTTGGCAGGGGACATCTTGGGGTCCATTTATCCATTCAGTACCATAGCAATTCAATTTCCAGCTGGCACATTCAGAGCACTTGGAAAATGGAGAATAAAAATTTGGCAGGGGGGGCAAGAATCAAGAAATAAAGCAGGCATGGTGGCACACACCTATAATCCCAGCTACTCAGGAGGCTAAGGCAAGAGGATCGCAAGTTCAAGGCCAAGTCTGGGCCACTTAGCAAGATCCAATCTCAAAAAATAAAAAGGTCTGAGGATGTAGCTCAGTAGAAGAGCACCTCTGGGTTCAATCTCAGTACTGCATGAACACAAAATTAATCAATATGTTAGCGGGGAGTAATATACGGGTCTCACTCCACTACCATGGACACTATAAGTAACATCCCCCCCCTCCTCGAGTTCTTATTTCTACAGCCCACATAACATCTCTCAAAGCCACAGCCCAGCCTGGCTTTGCCTGCACCCACCCCCAGAATTGAAAATGCTTACAAGTTTGTAAGTGACTTTATTCAGTGCCTCACTGTACAGGATAGGAAAGGAGTTAACATGCTGGACACACTCTGAGACACTAGATGTGCTCCAGAGCTCCCTGCAGGGTCAGCAGAGGTGGGGACTTGGCTGCCCACTTGCTTGGTTTCTTCCTCTGCTCAGTCCTTTCTCCCCACTCCCTTTCCTTTCCCCTTCTGCAAGCCGTTTATTAATAAGTTATATGCATGTGAATCCATTTCTCCCTTTCTAGAAGACCTGTCCTAAGTCTCCCATCAAACTTTAAAAAGCATAGTGAAACAATATATTTCAAAACTGTTTGGGGGGAGTGAAAAAAATAGACCACAGAACAAAGTTATCATCAGAAATGGACCCAAAACAAAGGTGTTCTTGTCCCTACCAACACCACCATTGTTACACCTAATTCGAGTCACATGAATTGCCTGATACCCTCGTCTCCATATTCACATGGTCCCAGGGCCTCACGTGGGTCTTTCACAGCTGATTCTCTCTAACAGGATGTTTGCTCAAACAACTCACACTATCTTTTGGTTTTGATGCCTCTTAAGACTCTATTCATAGAAACTCTCATTGTGACATTGACTCTTTTTAGGTAGTGAATCTGATTTCTAAATAAAATTTGACAAAATTCTAATATACTAAAAAATGTATGTACAACTGTCAAATCTATCAGAAACTCTCATCTCTTTGGCCAGTACATCTGCTCCATGTAGCCAAATCTAATAGGAGTTAAAATAGTCAAGAGGTAGCTTGGTGAACATGGAATTAGAATAAAGGAAACAAACTCTAAGATGCAAAGTTTTGATAGGCTTGTACACTCACTATTTCCACGTCGTTTATCCAAAAGTGTGTGTGCGTGCGTGTGTGAGTGTGTGTGTATACATCTGTGCATGGTTTACACTGCCCAAAAGGAATTTAAGTGAAAAATAGGACTTCCTTAAACATACTATAGTATAAGATATGGAAGGTATTTTTTATTCCCACTTGTAAAGGACATGATCATGCAGTAATGATGCTATCGAGTCAAGAATCTGTGCCCTCTCTTCCTTCATTGTCTTCCAAGTATTTAAAAAAAAAAATATGTCCCAATTCAAGTCACCATCATAACTGATAAAAAGCTATGAATTGCTGGAGTAGCATGGCCAGCAAGTGACAGGACAGGACAGGGTGGCCTGGCTCTGGAGTCTTCACTGCTCGTCCAAAACCAGGCAGGCAAGGAGCGGGAAGGCAGGGCTAACACCCCAGGGCCCCACTGCAGACCTGCACTGCGTGTGTCTGGATATTCAAACTGCTATTTGGGACCGGGAGCTTGCTATGTCTTCCTGCCCTACTGATCTGGAAACACTAGTATTTAGATGCCAGTTTTTCTGGAAAAACTGGCGGAGGGCTCTTCTCCTAATGTTAAGATGTTTTATGACACTTTCCCAAGGTCTTTGTGTGCTATGAGGTAGAAACGTTCCCATTTTATAAAAGAGGAAACTCTACCTGCGTGTTGCTCAGGCTCAGGGTAGCCACCTGGGTTCTGCTGACAGGCTTTGTCACGCCCTAAACCCCAGATGTGCAGCAGAACCCAATCCAGGTTCTACAGCTGATGATAGGACCCTGTTTCCTCTACCCAGGGCCAAGAAGAGTTACTCAGCATCCAATTCCTCGGTGGTTCCTTAAGATGATACCTTTTTTCTTTTTCCTTTGTTCTTTATGAAGTACATTTTCATAGTCGGTGTGACCTGTGCTGTTAGTTGCTGGCTCTCTTCTGTGGCTACTCTGTGTTTGCCTGACTTCTCCCCTTACAGCCACCCCATGCTTCCAAGCCACCAGAGCAGGAGGCTCGGTTGCCTTAGCAATATTTGTCGGGAACTTTCCATCAAGACAGAGGCTGTCTCAGAGGCAGGCTATGTCAGCGATCCACAGAAAGCCCAGCCCACAGGTCAGGCTGCTGTGTCCCCACAAAAACAATCGTGACTTCAACATGCACTTCCAAAACTAGAGCTTGATACATGTCCACTGAGGACATGGATAGACCCACCCAGAAAATTCCACCCTGAAATAAACAGGAAATGTATTCTCTAAAGGATGTGTTTCCACAAAGCCATTCCAAGAAAAACAAAATGAAGACTTTTATTTTTATTTATTTAACAAATGACACCATGTGGAGGCAGCTTTTGTAGGAATGAAAGGGAAGAGAAGAAGCTAGAAGGGCCGCCTCAGGTTCTTGGTAATATGGAGGTCCAGGTACTCTTCCAGACAGCAGTTTGCAATCCCCAGGCTGCTGAGCACAGTCAACAGAGCAACGTCCTCAGACTCAGCTCCAAACCACTCATCCTGCAGGGGGGACAGGGAAAGGAGTGACCACCTGGGCCACTCTGAGGAAGCTGGGAGCCTTGCCACGTTGTCAACGCTGCCCAGAACACGTGTTTTTGCCATTTGAAATTTTTGCTTTGTCACATAAACTAAAGGAGATGCCCAGCCACAGAGGTCAGTTCACTCCTTTGATCACTCAAAGGATTATGGAGACTGGACAAGATGATCTCCCTGCATTTTACAGAGAGGATGCAGAACTATTGCAAGGACTGGGAACGTCTGCATGCAGAGCAGCTTCAGGCCTGCATCTCCCCCTGTTACGCCTCTGTGTGGACTGCAAGACCCGGCCTCGGGCCACATGGATGACTCTGGTGCTCTTGATAGCTCTCAGGATCAGGAAAGGAACTCAGGCTTCTCTGCTGCACCTTGCATAAATACAACATGATTGGATTTTCCTTACCTTTTTTCAGTAGCTTCTGAATATCCCCAGAAGTACTTGTGACGGCCATATATGTACACCAGTCCCAAAATAGCGGCAAAAACTGTGAAAGAGAAAAAAGAAAGAACACTGCAGTAGTTTTTTAAAATAAGATATGGAGACAGAGAAAATATTTACAAAATGCGTATGTGAAAAAAATATACAATTCAATAATAAAAGAAAAACAACTTTGGGGCTGGGGTTGTGGCTACAGCGGTAGAGCGCTTGCCTAGCATGTGTGGGGCACTAGGTTTGATCCTCAGCACCACATAAAAATAAAATTAAGGTATTGTGTCCAACTACAACTAAAAAACAAAATATTAGGAAAAAAAACAACTTTTTAAATAGTCAAAATATTTGAATAGACAGTTCATAGGAAGACAAACCAAAATGCCAATAATCACATGAAAATGTTTTACCAAGATTCGACAGTAGGAGACTGCCCCTTAAAACTACAACGAGGGCCAGGCATGGTGGTGCACACCTGTAATCCCAGCAGCTTGGGAGGCTGAGGCAGAAGGATCACAAGTTCTAGGCCAGCCTCAACAACTTAGTGAGACTCCATGTGACTTAGTGAGACTTGGTCTCAAAATCAAAAATAAAAAGGAATTGGGATGTGGTTCAGTGGTTAAGCACCCCTGGGTTCAATCCTTGGTACCAAAAAAAAAAAAAAAAAAAACTACAATGACATACCACATAGCTCTGTGAGTTTTGACAAATGTACAATTCCAACTACGTGAAGTTACGGAGTGGGCAAAACAAAATTTATTATGTTACTTGGTGTTCTGATTTGGATGTAAGGTGTCCACCAAAAGCTCACATGCGAGACAATGCAAGAAGGTTCAGAGGAGAAATGATGGGGTTGTGAGAGTCTTAACCCGATCAGTGAATTAGTCCCCTGATAGAGATTAACTGAGTGGTAACTGAAGTGGTGCAGGAGATGGGAGTTTGGGTGTGGCTTTGGGGTATATATTTGTATCCGGCAAGTGGAGACCTCTCTCTATGCTTCCTGATCATCATCTGAGCTGCTTCCCTCCACTAACCTCTTCCATCTCGAGCTCCAAGGTATGGAGCCAGGTATCTATGGATTGAGACCTCTGAAACCATGAGCACCCAAATAAATTCTTTCTCCTCTACAATTGATCTGGTCAGGTCTGTTAGTTGCAGGAGTGCAAAAGATTCTGCACTCACCAGAATGGTGAAAATTTTAAAAGAACAATACAAAGCGGTGAGGGTGTGGGAGCAACTGGAATCCTCATACAGTTTTGTTAGGAATGCAAAATGCTATAGCCCTTTTGGGCAAAGTTCTGGTAGTTTCTTAAAAAACTAGACATATTATTGACCCAGTAATTCCATTCCTATGTATTTACCCAAGAGAAATGAAAGCATGTGCCCATAAAAACTTGTACAAGAATGTTCATGGCAGCTTTATTTGCAATTAGCCAAAAGAATCGATAACCAGCTGTGGTAGAGGCACCTAGTGGACAGTTAGTCAGCAGGGAAACGACACAGCTACTCACAACAGCATGGCGACCTCAAGAACATTCTGCTGTGGGAGTAGAGCATTACAAGGTACATGCTGCACAATTCCAGCTACATGAAGGTTTGGCGTGTGCAAAACCAAAGGATGAAAAAGTCAGAACAGTGTTTGCATCCGGAAGGGAGTGAAAACAGGCAGGGCTGGGAGCACCAGCAGCAAACTTCCATGTTCTGTCCCTCGATAGGGGTTAGGCTCACAGAGACTTGTACACCTTTCAAAACTCATCAAACACTCAAGGTCTGTGAATTTTGCTACATGTGAATTTTAGCTCAAAAGAAGGAGGAGGGGTGGGGAGGAGGAGGAGGAATTTCAATATGATATCTGGCTATCCTGATGGATGCGAATATCTGCATCCTCCCTGTGAAGGCCCCTCCCAGATGCAAGCCACCAGAGCCCTCTCATCAACGTCCATGTGTGGGACTGTGATATGCTGGATGGAATTAGGTTTGCTACTTTCACTTGCTCATAAAGATTTTTTTTTTATTTCTACTGTATTCCAAGTGTTATTCTAAGGACTGGGTAAGCAGCTCCCTGCCTTTAGAGGATTTTTTTTTAATATTTATTTTTTGGTTGTAGTTGGACACAATACCTTTATTTTATTTATTTATTTTTATGTGCTGCTAAGGATCGAACCCAGGGCCTCGTACATGCTAGGTGAGTGCTTTACTGCTGAGCCACGACCCCAGGCCCTAGAGGGTTTGTATTCTATCAGCAAAGTCAGACAGCAAACAAAAGAATGGAGGAGAAAATCCCAGACTTGAAACAGCTGTGAAGAAACTGAAAGGGAAGGACAGAGAGGAGCTAGAGGAGGCCACCTTCAGAAAGGGCCCTGAGGGGAGGGCGCTGGTCTGCGGATGCTGAAGGATGAGAAGAGGGGACCCAGCAAAGGGCTGGTGACAGAGACGCCTAGTGTCTGAGGAACTTGAAGGGTTCTACCCTAACCAGTGAATGATTCCCATAAAGCTAAAGAAAATGACGAGGAGCAGCTAATGGGCAGCTGACTTTGGAAGAAAAAGAATGAAAAGAAAATCATAAGATACCCAAGAAGCCCTTTCCTGCCATGCCATGGGCCTCATTCTGCCCATCACAGGGACACGCAAAGGGTCAAATGGCCGAGACAGAATCCCATTATCAAAAGGCGCTTTTCTTATTAGTGATTAATATGCCCTCATGTGAGGGGAACAGCCACTTCCATTCATGTCGTTAAGGGACAAAAGCATGAGTTGGAATAAAGTTAAAGAGCCTTTCTCTAAAGGTCATTTGATCTGAAATTCCTTAGTTGACAGTAAAAATTACAAGAGAGAGATGGATGGGGTTTCCTCTGGAAGCAGCTGGATTTGGGTTTCATTCTTAGTAATCAAGTGCAGATATAAATGAGGCCATAAAAGTCACCAGAAATCAAAGGGATTGAATTTCTCCAACCAAGGTGGCCCATGCCGGTCAGACTCCCTACTGAGTGGATTGGCAGTTTGGATAAAGCCCGGAGCTCACCAGGGATCCCAGAGTCAAAGAACAGGGGATATTTGTAGAACTGCTATCTATAAACAGTAGCATTATTTTGGGGGGGATCCTTCTAAAAAGGTACACAGTTTTGTAGGACAAATAAATGTCAACATCCCCTCCTAGGGCTATTTTCCCTCTATTGGGTAAAAGTCAAGTTAGACAAATTACTTAGCTTCTCTGTTCCTCAGTTTCCTCATCTGTAAAGTAGAAATTAGTTATAGACTCTATGTCATGTGAAGGTTGTAAATCCTACAAATCTTATTCATGAGACTTAACACTTAAAAATAATGCCTAGTGGGGGCTGGAGTTATAGCTCAGCGGTAGAGCGCTTGCCTCGCACTTGTGAGGTACTGGGTTCGATCCTCAGCACCACATTAAAGATAAATAAATAAATAAATAAAGATATTTTAAAAATAATAATAATAATAATGCCTAGCATAGTAAGTGTTCCATAAATGTTAACTATAATTATTCAGGTGACTATTTAATTCTAATAATTTAATTCTAATTAAATTCTTGGATTTGAAGACAAAAAGTTCACGTTCTTTTCATCCTCTAGTGCCCAGCATATAGTTTGTTCCAATATTTTTTTAATTATTGAATTAAATCACAAGGGTCAAATTTGGCAAATCTACCACACATATTTATGCAGACATGGCTTATTTTGCTTAAGATCATTTTCAGGATCAATAATTGTATGGTTGACTATCTGCTCTTTAATTATTTTTAAGCACCATATTCACTAGAACAGAGTTGACTTGTATTTCCTGAGTACCTTCATTGAAGTACCATCCCGCCATCCACAATGTAATCAAGAACACAGGATAAAGCTCCACACAGTTTTGCCTGCAGGGAAAAAATGAAAACAGGGGTTGATGTGTGGGAAACCGTGCAATTATATATTGATTCTTCATTGTAGGTAAAAATTCAGTCTATCCTAACAAAGGTAATACAAATGCAGAAAGAACTTAAGTGATCCTTCCGTTTAAAATGAATCTTCTAAGGTGGGCCTCAGACATGTTTAAACCTCAAGAAGGGCCCAAATCATTCTCCTACACAGAAGCTTCCACTAATAGATATGAGTTATGGCTCTTTTCAACATGATAGTTCTGCTGAGCCTAAAGATCATTCTGTATCTTAGCTAAATCCCAAAGGTCACTTAATTCATATTAAACAAATTTCTTCTCAAAAATTCCTTCACATCCATTACTTTCCACCTAGTGACTTGGAACACTAAAAGGTGGTCTTTAAGTAATTCCCCTTGCTGGGCACAATGATGCCCATCTGTAATCCAGCAACTCAGGAGGCTAAGGCAGGAAGATCACAAGTTCAAGGCTAGCCTCAGCAACTTAGGGAGACACTGCCTCCAAATAAAAATTTAAAAGGGCTGGGGATATAGCTCAGTGACCCTGTGTGCTCTGTGTGCCCCATGATAACTCCACCTCTGTAAGCTGTCAATACACCCCTGGGCTCAATCCCCAATTGCAAAAATAATAATAATTATCATAATTATTATTCTCCTAAAACTTCCTGAAGTAAACATATCTAATTTCCATTTATGAAGGAAGAAACTCAGGAGAGCCCAGGCTGACTGATGGCATTGTAGAGAATTAAAAGTAGAGAGTGTCTATCTCTAGATTCCAAAACTCTGTCCTACTGTCTGCTCAAACCTTCTTTATTCATAGAAGACTCAGATGGAAAATTTGCTGCTATTTTAAGTAAATGGGCATAGTAATAATTCCTCTGAACCTAACAAAGAGAAAAAAACATGACTCCTACTCATCCTCCTCCCTGAGCTCCACCCGCAAGGGATCTTGGTTAGGTTGGCTGAGTTCTTTGCGGACACCACCACAAGCAGGAAGAACTTCATGGTAACAGGTAGAGGGTGCCACGGTAGATTCTGGTGGAAGAGTCACAGTCAGTCACAGGATTATTCACAACTGACCCCACATCCCTCCTTAAATAAGCCTCATGGCTCGATACTCAAGGTGATGGGTAACTGACCCAGAAATAGTTGATGCCCCAGTCACCATGAGCTATCTTTTTTATTTCTTAAAAGAAGGAAGGAAGGAGGGAAGGAAGGAAGGAGGGACAGCGGGAGGGAGGGAGGGAGGAAACACAATTACAAAGCACATTGTCTGTAATTCTTCCTTGTCCATAATTCCACAGAAAACGTGGACAGGTCAACTCAACCTCACCAGATGAGGTCTCAATACATGGGACAAAGCTCCCCTGCATCTTTCAACCATCTCTTAATGCTGGGCGAGAAAAACTCATAATTAACAAACTCAAGGCTGGTATAAGTGAGGCCATGGCTGATGCAGAATCCTGAAGCACATGGGGAAACTTTAAACCCCCCAGAAAAAACACAAGAGCAAGGTCCACCTATGGCTCTCTAAGGGCCCATACGGCAGTGATTGCCAATTCCCTGGAAAATCGAAAATGAGTCTCTTCTTGCTTTTCTTATTGTTTGTAAAGCCCTAAAGGCTACTAATGACCCAAAGAAGTTTTCCTTTAGAGCCTAGTACTCTCAGGAACCAGAGGTCCAACTTTCTAGTACTCAAAGAAGCAACCGAGAATCTTCTTTCTGCTGATTCTCCTATTTGTATGATTTTCTCTTTTTGATGATGGTTGTCTTTTTTTTAATTAATGTCCTCTTAAGTTTGTAAGTGGTTATGACAGGTTAAGTGAAGATACTTTATAAATTTGTGTACTCGGAATAACTGCAGCTACCTAAAAAATACCTGGGCTCGCAGCTTCCCCACATTTCCTTTTCCTTGACTAACTCCATTGAACTGTTCTCCGTGAGGAGAAAGAGAGGGCTAGCAAAGGAAGGCTCTAATCCTTCCACCTCGTAGGAATCTTATAGGATCCTTTTTGGATCCTATTAATTGCCCCATTATTTATTACAGTCCATAATGTACCCTCAGTTACCCCAAAAATAAGGACTAAGTTTTTCCACAACATACTTTAATTCAAAATTGGCTATGATATTTTTTAAGTACCTTCAAAAGCATCCCGTTTCATCCTTTGGCATGGTTTGGGGGGAGGGACAGGGACATCATATTGTAGATGAGCAATCCATCCAAGCCCCAGCTGCTCTGCAGGGACAGAGCCCATGGGCCTGTGGCCTCTTAGGACATCTGTCCACACAGGTTGATGGGTGGGTATGCTTTGGGGTCCCTTACATGAAAGAGGAAGAAGGCCTTTGGGCAAGAAAGGAAAAGAAGTGAGGATGGAGGGATAGTGGGCCCTTCCCCCCGGCCCAGCTGGGGAACGGCTTTCCCTCCTTAACGGAGACCAGCCTTAAAAGGAGGGATCATCTTCTGAAACCCTTGGTGAGGCTCCAGACACAGGCAGTGCCAGACGTCCATGACAAGAGACACAGAGTTGGAGAGAGCCAGACCCCTTACCTCCCCCTGCTGCAGACCCCAGGGCAGCCCCAGGAAGTCCAGTTACGAAGCTGGAGAGGAAGGCCACCCTCAGGGGCCCTGCGCAGGCCAGTGGCAAGGCCCCTCCCTTCAACTGCTTGCAGCAAGGGCTGTGCTCCTGGGGACATCTCCTGACTCCCAAAAAGTAGCAGGAATACGAGGAGGCAGGTTCCGAGAGGCTGGTGAGCCAAGCAGGTCAGGAGCCGGGAGGTGTAGGCAGGATGGGACTGTAACTCCATTTGTGTTCACAGTGCGCAAAACCTGTGGCCCTGAGGCAGGTTGGCATCACATCTCTGCATCTTCCTCTGCCAAGAAGTGGGTCCCTTTGTTCCCTACAAGGAGTGTCCACTGCTGGACTCGCCCTGACCTCATGGCCCAGCTGAGCTCGCTGTACTTGCCCGGAGGCCCCTCTGGGGCTGACCTGCCTCAAGCCCTAGTCCCTGTGAGATGCGGCTCTAGCCTTTTCTTGCTGTCATCTTTCGGAGATTGAAAATACTTCTCTGCCCACCTGTCAGGGGTCCTGCTATTAGCTGACAATCCTCTTTGCTGCCCACCTGCAGAGAACGCCAGGATCCCGTTCCACCTGCTCATCGTCACCTCCCCCAGCCCTCCCCCATGTCATCACATCTTCTGTCACCAGCTCTTCTTCTGAGTCCAAGCCCTGCTTGATGTGGCCCTGTGTGCCCTGTGTGCCCCATGATAACTCCACCTCCGTCAGCTGTCAGCAGACATATTTTAACTCAAGGGATGAAATCCTGACAAGTCCTCAACAGTCCTATCAGCCACTAATTACAGTTTCATGAACATGAAAATCAATATGGAATCATTTGCAGCCTCCTTCTGGTTATGAAGGCAGACATATCCCATATTCACGTCACAGGGAGCCTCAGAAAACTTCCCCATTGGGGACAGCAAGCAGCCTGCAGCATCCACACATCAGTTGCCCTTCACGTGGGAACAGAGGGTACAGCTGATTCTGATCATCGATGGACAGTCCTCTGCCCCGCATGTCCACACTGAGGGAAACAGGTTGTATCTGCTCATTCTCTGGTCACAGCCTCCTGTGTTCTTCTGAAATTAAAGTCCCCATGGAAAGATTAGGAGGAAGTTATCTTTTGTCACAACATCAGGGGCCTCAGAGACTATGCAGGAGACAATAACAGAATGAAGCTTTGCTAGAAGGACAGTCGGGGGAGTGTCACAAGTGAGTGAGGCCATTAACATAGACCAAACACGTTAGTGTCTTTCCACATGTCAGAATTTATTGAATGACAATAAATTTGTAAGCTACATTACTTTCATTGGCTTTCATTCACCAAAAATACTCATGGTTCATTTGGTGTCATGCCTGAGGTGATCACAAATTCTTTTATTCCATCCCAATCTTAATTTCAACATCAATAGCACTCAAGTCACATATCCTGCATCACACAGTGAGATACACAGGTAACAGAACGGGTTCAGGAAGCCACAGGTGGAAAGCAACTAGGAAGGCAAAGAATCTCTGTAGGTGATCAGATAAGGGTTTGAAGGAACCAGTTCTGCAGAATTATTAAAGTAAGGGTCTAGACCGACAGACAGAAGTTCCAGAGTGTCACTTAAAGTATCAATTTGAAGAGGGCCTCATGTTATCCTCACAGGCAGGAGAAACCACACTGAGCCGAATCCAGGGTCAGAAAGTCAAAAATTCATCACTGTGGTGATTTTCCTGGGCAAGGCTCATGACAAGGGACAAGGTGAGGAGGTCAGAGGGACTCTGTGTCCATTCTTTAAAAATAAAATTTTTTTTGTAGTTATATATGGGCATAATGTCTTTATTTTATTTGTTTATTTTTATGGAAAGGAATGTTACTTGAGAGGCTAGTGCTCTGCCACTGAGCTATAGCCCCAGCCTTCTGTGTCCACTCTTGAGGGGCTCCTTCTTTTGTAGGTCTTAGTGGGGAGAGTATGTCCATTGAGATTGATAACTTCCTTGTATCTGATGTTTCTGGTTTGATTTGAATTGCCCACTGGTCTAAATGTTCCCCATTTGATAAATTGACACAAATAAGTTATTTCCAATTTGTGCCTGGTGGATGTGCTGAACAGATGGAGGTTGTTTACTTGCCCAAACAAGGTGTGGATTAATTCTACATTGGCACTTGTGCTTCAAATGGAGTAAGTCATGGCAACCTACTGCTTTATAAAGTGGAGTAACTCAGAGTTAGGCACAGGCTGAAAACCATAGTTCTACACACCAAGGAGCAACTCAGAGCAGGACACAGCCTGCAATCCCCAGGGAGCAACCGTCCTGGTTTGCCTGGACTAGGGACATTTCCAGAATGTGTAACTTCAAGCTTCAAAACCATCTCAGGTAAATCATCCAGGTTGGCCTGGGACTGAGAAGTTTTTTTGGGACATGAAGCTTTAAGCACA